ATTTAAATAATAAATAAATAATAAATAAATAAAAGTGTGGTTACATGACATCTCAGGTCGAAGAACGTGGGGAGAAGGCAGCCTTCTTATGCTCTTCCTCCATGTGGTAATCCCACGAAAGATGTCAACGCGATTAAGCAGAAAGCAGGCCCTAGAAGTCACCCAGCTTCTTCCCTCTGTGTCAACCCCTGCACATTTGAAAGATTCTGCACATGTGTACTTGTCTTCGTGCAACTGGATTTTTTGGTTAATGAATATACAAATAAGACATCTCTTGGTAGGCATCCATGCAGAATGCCTGGCCTTGACAATAGCACCACTTCGTGTTCTTTGAATCACATGGTCTCTTTTGTTTCAATAAGATATAAAAGGATGACTGTCACGTCATTTTATGGCAAGCTGGTTTCTTCTGAAGACATACATAATTAAGAATTGTGCCTTTTATTCTGAGTACCTGTGCCTTTTTTCCTCAAATAATCAAACACTTGACTAATCCCATCTGCTTTTGACATCTGCGTGCCCTTCTTGTTTCACGCCTGAGTTTTCTTGGAAAAGTGGAATGGCTCAGAAAAAGGCTCATGAGCCGTCCAAGGATTTTCAACAAAACTGTTGATGACTCACTCTGGCTATGTCAGAGGGGCTGTGTGACATTGTGTCTTCTAATGAATATGCAAACTCCTAGTGGTTTAATTAATGTTGATTCATTTGTTGTACTAAGAAACATGCTTTTTAAAGTCTTACCATTTTCTAAAAATATCTAAAACTTAACAGTACCAAATTTCTCTCTCCATCTTCCTTCTTTGTTATTTTCCTCTTTAATTTTCTTACAGGAGAAAATGTTCTATCTATCCAGCCTATTAATTTTATATAGTCAATAATTGCGCACACGCACGTACACACACAGACACACACACAATATCTGTTGTATAGCTCATGAATTCTGCCTATGCTTAGAAAGAGAGGGAGAAAAATAGATATCAGAAGCTGATCTGGACATATTTATTAACTGTCCATCCATCCTTGGATACCTGGTTATAATTTTAAAATGCAGTAGATTGGAGAAACCAGCTTATATCTAGTAAGGTAAAATCAAAGATAGTTTATTTTATATATTACTAGACAACCCCTGATCATTTGGATCATGGTTTTATAGATATTTTCTTACCTAAACAGAGAAATCAAATGACCACAGGGGGGGGAAAAAGCATTAAGAGTAAGAACAATTTCCAACTTCCTGCCAGCTTCCCTATTGGCTTTCCTTGTAGGAAACTGGCAGGGAGCATTGGAAATGATGATCACATGACTTTGGCTCCCATCAGTGGCAGCACTGAGGCAGCCACAACTCTACCAAGTTTGAAAATCACTGGAGCCTTGGGTCCCAAATTTTGGACACATTCTGTAAGTTAGCCCATTTGAGGTAGTTTGATTTAAAAACTGTTGCCCTATGATACACCATTTTGCCCAAATGAAGGTTACAATCAGCCATACATAAAGAGTTTTAGTAGTCTTTTTAAAGTCACGCTGCACTCGTGATAATTTTATGGTCATATTTACTTGTTCTTTCAAAATCCATTTTCATATATGAAGTTTAAATCAGAATTGAGCTCGCATAGCACAATTCATTTTAATGTCCCGATTAGAGAGTTTGGGCATTTTATTGTTATTAACCATCCTGACTAATGTAGTTTTTACATCTGCATAACGAAGGAAGCAGTTTGAAGCAACTGCTCCTCAAAAGCTGCTTCCTCTAAAATAGTGGTTCTCAACCTATGGGTCGCGACCCCATTTGGGGTCAATCGACCATTTCACGGGGGTCGCCAAGCAAGGCTGTCTGCCATTTTTTTCCCCTTTTCCGGCAGGTGCCTTACCTCCCTTGAGCTGGGCCAGCTGGTGGTCGGCCTGCTCCGTCTCTGCCGCTTGCCAGCTATGCCTCGGCCGGCGCAGGGGGCGGAACCACGCATGCGCGGCGCTCCCGGGCAGGGAAAGTCCTTGACTTACGACCGGTTGGGTAGTCCTCAACTTATGACCGGTTTAGTCCTCGACTTACAACCGGTTTAGTCCTCGACTTATGACCAGTTTAGTCCTCGACTTACGACCGGTTGGGGGTCGTGGCATTAAAAAGGTTGAGAACCACTGCTCTAAAAGGATGCTATCTCATCATACAGTTTGAAAGCAAGGTCTCCAATAAACAGTTGCAAAGCAGCAGAGGGCAAACCGAGCTTTTGAAGTGAGGTGGAATAGTGATGAATCCTTACCCTGCTTGCTTATTTTGTTTTCTTTAAAAAGCCCACTCCCTGTGGTTTCTGTACAACAAGAAAATTACAGTAGGAATGCCAGCAGGTGGAATGAAAATGATGTGTGAGGAAAGAGTTAAATTCTATTTCGTGGCTTTTTCTCGGGGCTTAATCCCAATCTCTTGTTCTTATTTGCATTGTTGCTGTTAGTTCCACAGTCAGGAACACCATTGTGAACACCCTCCTTATTTACAGTGAGTAAATAAGATGCCGAATAACTATAAAGGTGAACCTACGGTCCAAGACTGAGCAGCTCAGAGAAGCATTGTAAAAGGTTTTGTACTCCTTTTGCTAATAGAATTTTTTTTTTAACCTTAACTTTTTACTTTAAAAACCCATGCAGGTCTAATATGGCTGAGCAAGAAAATTGAGACATGTGTACAGTTCAGGTCTTATTTATGAAAAAGCCAGCTGCATAGGATTTAGATTTTTACCATATGCAGAATTATTCAGGTAGATTGCAGGCATGGCGGTATCCATGTTTCTGTCTGTATCAAAACATAATCAATACTACAATCAAAATTCTCATGGCTGTTTGATACTTTGTAACCTTCAACCAGGCAAAACTGTACACCATGTAGCAATAATTTTTGAATCAACATACTTCAAACAGGCTAATTTAGACAATGTGTCTAGGATTCATGGCTCCTGTGGGATTGAAAGTTAGCAAAATTGTGGCCTCTTTAGTACTATCGTGCCTAGAAACCTGTAGGTCATGTGGCATAAGGAAAGATGGGAGGGACATATCCCAACCCTCTTTCCTGCCTCCACACCCAATCAGCTAGGGCAAGGCCCAACAGGTGAGCAGCCATTGGCTGCTTTCAAACTAATGTCTAAATGTGAAATTTAATGACAATGCCCAGTGAGCAACAAGGGAGCAACATGGATGCCTGCTGGCAAGGTAGGGTTGGCTGTGTGACACCATCAATCGGTAGGTGAGCCCTCTTCCTCCCTGGAAGAATGAGGAGCAGGGCTGCAGTTTTCAATGTGGTTCTTGGCTCCTTTTGTTTCCCCTCCCTACAACAAAGTGGCTGGCAGATCTGCAGTTCATCCATAAAGGCAATGATGGCGATGGCAGAAATGGCTTCATTGGGGCTCTCTTGAGGTTCATGAGGGGGGGGGGAATGGGGAAAGCCTAAATATATATGTGGAAAGAGGAAGAACTAGGGAGCAACTGGGATGCCTGCTGGTGAGATAAGGCTGGCTGGGGAGTGCCATTAACTGTGAGACTTCTTTCTCCCTGGAGGCAGGGAAGTCTTCGGGAGATGCTGGAATAGGATCAAGGGTGCAGTTTTCCTCACAGTCCTCCATTCCCTTTGTTCCCCCTTCACTGGGGCTCCATTCCCCCTTCACAGAGTGTGAGGGGAGGTGGTAACAGCACAGGCCTATATTTTATGTGCAAAGAAAAGAATGATCCAACAGGTCATATGCTGTCTAGCATACTACTAAAACTCTTATGTATGGCTGATTGTAACATTCATTTGGGCAAAATGGTGCATCATAGGGCAACAGTTTTTAAATCAGTGTACCTTAATTGGGCTAACTTACAGAGTGTGTCCAAAATCCAGGACCCATGGCTTCAATGAGATTCAAACTTGGTAGAGTTGTGGCTTGCCTCAGTGCTGCCATTGATGGGAGCCAAGGTCAACTGATCATCATTTCCAACGCTTCCTGCCAGTTTCCTACCAAGGAAAGCCAATAGGGAAGCTGGCAGGAAGTTGGACATTGCTCTTACTCCCAATGCTTTTTTTCCTGTGGTCATTTGGCTTCTCTGTTTAGGTAACGAAAATCTCTGAAACTATGATTCAAACAATCAGGTTGTCTAATAATATATAAAATAAATGATCTTTGAGATATTCTGATTCTGATTCCATTCTCTAACCTTGGACTCCAAGAAGTGACTCATAAAGTAATATTCTTTTACAAAGATGTCTGTTGACTTTACTTCAGCTGCACAGATCCCCTAAATAATTTGTGAGCTGCTCAAAGCCTATGGCCCTCGTTCATATAATCTTATTTATTTAAAGCATTTATCTAGCTGCACATTTTACACTGAACAGGAGAATTAAAATGTATATCTTTCTTGGTTAAATTATTTTTCACAGGATTGTAGTATTTGGAGATGCAAATACTGCATCCAAAAATTGATAGTCTATAGCCTGATTACTCAAATGCTTACATAAATTTGAATAGTTGCATATTGAAGTTAATAGCAAACTCGGTCTGCTTGTTTGTCAATACTGCTTAAGTTTCATGTTCATAATCATAATTGCAAATTACCAAAATACCAAATACCAGTACCAAAACTGATATTATGAGGATATAGAGGTCTGGGCAGACATTGATCCAGCCCAAGATTGTGGAAACCTTTTTGCATTGATCCAGGTTCACTACAAACAAATGTGAATAGAGGCCCCTTGCAAACTTCCCAGTTCAATCCTAGAGGCCAATGATCAAGCAGACCTGGGTGGTGATTTCAGGGGGTACCTTTCACATATTCCCTTGTTTTTAATCCCTTTAGCTCTCCCATGGAAATCTGAATAATCAATATTAGGTATTACTTGCAATGATATTTGCAGCGCAGTGATAAAATCTCGTATAAGTGATAGATTTGACCAAATGCTTCCACTGAGAATCCATTAGAAATGTGGCTAGTTATTGCACAATTGACTCAAGAGATAATTCAATTGCTGTTTTATTTTTCAGATATGATTCTTGATCAACAAGTAGGGTCCGGACAGCTCAGTGAAGATGTTCGCCACAGAGTCCATGAGGCTTTACTCAAACAGCATCACCATCAGAACCAAAAGAAGTTAAGCAATAGGATCCCAATAGTCAGGTCCTTTGCTGACATTGGCAAGAAACAGTCTGAACCCCATTCCATGGACAAAAATGGTAAAGTGTCATGTTAATTAAGTAATGGTTACTGTAGCTTTGATACAATGGATTTGCCAAAATCGGTGATTTATTCCATTTCAGTCTTCTTGTCCAACATCACTGCAACACTTACATTTTCTCAGGTTCCCTTCCCTTAACTGTGGGAAATTGGAGTTATAAGGGATGGTAGCAAATCTTTGACAATGGCTCTGAAATTATAGAGTAGGACACCTCATAAAAGGAATCAATTTACAGGCAATCAGGAAGGGGAAATGTAAGTTTTTGGCACTGATGTGCAGTAGCTTAATTGGCTTTTTTATTTAACTAGTTGTTTTTATAGAAAGATATATTCAGCAGTTCCTGTATACCTCTTTGATTTTACTGAATGGGTTTAAATAACATTTAAACATTCCTAAGTGTACTTCCAATGTACATCATTTTTGGTTTGAGATAAAGTGAGAAGAAAGTTATAAAATAAAGAAAAAGCAAATCATTTTTGTGGGGTTATGTAAGTGTGTCTGTTGTCACTCCATTTCCTAAACAATTATGAGTTGCTAAGATTAAGATGGAAAAGATGATATTTTCAGAACAAGGCAAGCCAATTATCCTGACTTCAGGAGACCTAAGAAATAAATTTTATAAAATCTCTTATGAAAATGATTTTGCAAATTAGTCATCTTTTGTCTTGAAATAAAAGCTTTAACCAAGTCTGCTTTCTCTGAACATATTTCAGGTAAGTAGATTCAGAATTATACCATATATGTCAGGGGTCTTCAAACATGGCCCTTTTATGACTTGTGGAATTCAACTCCCAGAATTCCTCAGCCAGGCATGCTGGCTGAGGAATTCTGGGAGTTGAAGTCCACAAGTCATAAAAGGGTCAAGTTTGAAGACCCTGATATATGTCATGCACTTTTTTCCTAAATTGATGCCCTGCATCTGTGCTAGAATACAATTCCATACTCACTTGCTTATTGACTGCTCTTTAGGAATGATACAAACTCTGGATCAATATATTTGAACAGTATCTATTTATTTTGACTCATTTTCCAGTGACTGGTGCATATTAGTAAACTAACACTGATGCAATTACATTCTGTTAACATTTAATAAGTTCTATTAACAACAAGGTATTTTAGTTGGTTATATTTAAGCGCAAATTGTAATACAAGTCAAGAGATTATTTTGATGGCTCTAATGACCAATAGCTCACAACATTGGTCATTAAGCAATATTTTTGATTGATTCACAAGAAATTTGATAATTCCCTGTGAAATCACATAGATGGATTACAGATTAAACTGATTAAATTACAGATTACCTAATCTTGCTAGGGTAGTGTTATGGTCTTCTGGATCTACTTTGAATATTTTCAAGGAATTCTTACTTTGAACACTTAGCAATACATTCATCCTTTAAACAGCATCACATGTGATAAATCTTTTTTAAAGTCACAAGAGTTAGGGATATTAAATCTCTGTCATTGTGTCTTATTTATTATTACTACTTAGTTAATTATTACTACTTAGCTGCTTAATTTGAGCACTGTTTTCACCCAGTGCATCATCTGTGTCTGGCCTATATTAATGAAGTCAGTAGATGAGCCCTTTATGACCAGATGCTGGGTAGGAGAAACCTCTCATAAATTTTCTTGAATTTATTTAAATTGGACAATTGAAGCACAGCTTGTTTATTATGGCACTGGAGGCAGCAGAAGCAAACTTAACAAGGGCAAAGATGCAGCTTCCCTATATAGAACTATGCATGAATGGATATAGCATTGTGTATTTGTTGAGATCAGTTGTGGGAAGGGGGATTATGTGAGGTAAAGAAGACAGTAATGGTGGAAGTGAGGATATTAAAATACTGACAAAATTATGACATCTGTGATTAAGGTGATATCCTTAATGTAACATTGTCATTTTCAGTCCTATCTTCAGTTTCCATGGTACTGGGAGGCTATATGAGATTACAACATGCCACTGATATGTTTAGATGGTGTGGTACGATGGCTTAGTGATTAAGATGCTAGGCTTGTCAGCTTGAAAGCCGACAGCCTGGATTCAAAACTCGAGTGTCATGCAATGGGAAAAGTGCCCATCTTTGCCTAGCTCAGGGGTCTTCAAACTCGGCCCATTTATGACTCATGGACTTCAACTCCCAGAATTCCTTAGCCAGCGTGCCTGGCTGAGGAATTCTGGGAGTTGAAGTCCATGAGTCATAAAAGGGCCAAGTTTGAAGATCCCTGCCCCACCTAATGCGAGTAGATAAACAGGTACAATTTTGACGGGGAGGAAACATGACATGTGATGTCATGCTGGCCACATGATGTGAAAAACAGGACAGTGCTGGCTCATGGTCTTGAAACAAAAAGGAACACTGCCCCCTATAGTCAGCAACGACTAGTGGAGTAAAATCCACAGGGATTCCTTTCCTTTCCTATGCTTAGATTGCCCTACCAGAATTTTCTAGATCTTCTGCTGTAAGTTCCAATAAAAGGGTAATGAATTTATGGAATGTTCATGCTTCAATGCTGCTGGAGGAAAATACTATGCTGTTTGAGATTCCTAGTTTGTATTCCTTACAAATTTAGATGTTCCTGACTTCAAAATTACCACAGCTCGGTTGTTTTACTGTTTTACAGCAGCGCAGCACTTATTTTCTCACTTGTTCCCCTCTGTTCATTCCTTTCAGTTTTACTATTTCTTTTCATAAAAATGTTATCGTACCACTATTTTGAAATAAATATTCCATCATTCTTAATCATTTCCACTTCATATCATACCTCCTTCATAGGTTCTTTCACCATAGGTTTCCCTGTTCATAATGGTGCATGATCTAAACCAGAGTTTTTCAAACTATGCTTCATGGAACCCTACGGTTCTGTGAGAACTTGATAGGGGTCTTTGAGAGATTAAGGATAAGAGAAAAAAAATAGTTTACTAGCGTGTAGCAGGTTTTCTATCAGTAGAGGTTTACCTCTTGATAAAGGTTTTTTGAATATATATTCAAAATATTCTGATCTAAACTCTGCTGTTGTGCATGATCATCTCCATGTTCTTTATTTTGCTATATCTTTATTGTATCTGTCTCTAACAGGCTCATCCCATCTTTGTCCTCCTTCATCTCTAACCTTTGGGTTCTGTAAACTCCTTGAAGGTCCAGAGGTAGTGTACTATAAATCTATCTTGCATGAACATTAGGTCAATTCAGATATTCACTCTTCACATCAGTTTCTTCTAGCATAATGTGTCATCATGATTAATCTAGACAATCACTTTTAAGGTCTTCGGGGCCTTTTTGCAAAAGGTACCAGAGTTTTTAATAGCTATTCCACTCTAGCCAAGATAATTTTCTTTTGCAAATAGTTTTAATATTTTTCTAATCTGAAAAGTACAAATTAGAAATGGATTGTGCACACACGAACACACAATAAAATTGGAGAAAAGTCTGAATGAAAATATAGAATGGATTTAAACAATGTATGTAGAGCTACCTGGATACTTATCATTATTTGGTTCTAGGAGGCATGATGAGTACCAAACAGCTTTTTCCCATTAGAAATAATATAGTGAGTCACAAGGCAGCTGACACTGACAAGTTCTAGCTTGTGCGTGAATACCAAACAAACAATGAGTACCGGGACAAACTTTTTACATCAAAATGTGTTGAGTACCAAATTCGATGAATTTCAAAGCAGTTGAGTACCAAGGTGCCACTATATCTCTAGTTTAGCACTAAAACCTGTGCAGATTTTTTAAAAAGAATGATTTCTCCCCAATATTGCTGGAAGCATAGTTCAATGAGTGCACTGCATTCAAAATTCCTACATGCTCACCCACAAAACTATAATTCCCACAACCTCCTTGGGAAAATTAATTAATACTGAAGAGTTAAATACTTCAATCCTAAACACTCATGATATGAATAAGCGCCGTACAATTTTGTAAGGAAATACGCATCTTATTGCAGTATAGAGATGCCTTCTATCAGTGATCCTGGGAAAATGTATTTATTGCAGTTGCAATAGTCAACTTCTATTTGATTAATATTTTACACATTACTTGATTACCAGTTTCGTCCTTTTTGGGACTTATCAGGTATATATGTTATAATTGGGATTAGATTGTATAGGAGTCAATCCCCCTCACTTTGCCAGGAATTAAATTCTTAAGCTATTGCATTTTATATAGGGCACTTAGTTTCATGAACTATAATGGCTCTGATTTTCAGGATTTGCAGGATGGGGAATATATGGACAAGCTATGAAGGAATAGTTTTCCTTAGTTGAACTTTCAGAGTAGAGGTATAGAGTTGTTACCTAATGTCAGAGGTGGGGAATGGTGGCCTCTTTATGACTTATGGACTTCAAGTCCCAGAATTCCTGAGCCATTCATGCTGGCTCAGGAATTCTGGGAGTTGAAGTCCACAAGTCATAAAGGGGCCATTGTTCCCCACTCCCGCCTTATGTCATGCTTTTTATATTTAATGTTCCATGATACCACCACCCAAAAGGGGTGGCTATTTCAATATTTTTATTTTATTTTATTTTATTTTATTTTAATTTAATTTTTTATTATTTTAATCTCACCTTTTTATTTATATAAAGAACTCAAGGAAGCAAGCATATCTAACATTCCTTCCTCTGCATTAAACAACCAATTTCACTTTTGTTATTTAAACACAAGTTGAGTCATGAGCTTTAGTAAATTAATAAAGAAATGGCTTTAGCAAACTTTTATAATGTGCTACATATTGCAAATAGATCGAAAGTTTTTATTCAGTTGGCCCTAATTATTCTTAGTAAGTTATGATCAAGAAAATGTATTACTTAGACATGTAGTAATGGGATGTACTTTGGAACATGAAATGTTTTGCATATAGGATATGATGTATATGAATCTTTCATTTAAATATCTCTTCAGCTGAATGTCCTTCTCAGGTAGCACCCAGCAAGTCTTCGAGTAATTTGAAAAAGCTAAGAAGCATTTGCCCTGATTATTATTTGAATGTGAGGCTAGACTAGGAAATCCAGAACTATAGACTGATATTTTGAAAATTATTATTTATCTACTGTTGCCAGGCAAACTGCAACCCCTTCTCTGAGGTCCACTGGACTCAAGCTAACTCAAGGGAGAATTTACTTTTTAATTCAATTGGCTGTTTTATAACAAATATACAGAAAAGTGTTAGTATTCTGTAATAACAACTTTTTCCAGCAGGTCAGATTGTTTCTCCACAGTCTGCGCCAACCAGCACTGAAAACAAAAATGATGTCAGCCGAGAAAACAGTACTGTTGACTTTAGTAAGGTAAGACAATAACACGAATCTTTGAATGGTAAGAGTATAGCTTAGTTCTGGCAATAAAGCACATTTCATTTCAGTGTAATAAATTATTACTGGCCATTGTCTCATACTACATGTATTTTATGTAAATAAATGGAGGGGGATGCATTTAACCATTTAAGACAAACTATCCTTTTTAAAAAATAAATGGTTCATTTCATTCCAGATCACTGTGAGGACATCATTAAACTTTAGAAGAGATGAAAGCTGTGTTTCAATATCTGAGCTAAAAAATCTTTGAAATGAATGCCTCTGTGAAAAAAATATCAGTGATACGGTAGCATTCTCAAGCAAGTTCTCATCTCTGAAAATGAAACATGGGAACAATTTATTTAAGGCTTAGTTTTATTACTGTAGTAGAGTTCTGATTGACACACTCATCTTTTCCATTCTTTCACTACAATATTAAGGTATAAAAATTGCTCTCTGTGATTTCAACTGTGAAAGAGCCAGTTAATTTCTGTTTGGCAGCAAAACCCTGGAAGTCCCTTAATAAATGCTCTACAGCAGAAGTGTCCAACCTTGGTGACTTCAAGACTTGTGGACTTCAACTCCCAGAATTCCCTAGCCACCCATGCTGGCTGGTGAATTCTGGGAGTTAACATCCACAACTCTTAAAGTTGCCAAAGTTGGATATTAATAGGCTATCAATCCATAATATAAAGACCCTGCATTGCATATATGAGAACTTGGGTTCAATTTAGCAATTCCTAAGGATAGCTGGAAAAGATTTTGCTTATAAGTATTTATAAGCTAAGGAAAGAAAACCATAATCTAACTTGCTGGAAAAGAAGTGTTGTCACTAATTTGTGTGACAATACTTAATTTAGGATTTGCAGGACAGAGTTAAAGAACTATAACATTAAGGGAATTGCCAGCATGGTGACAAACTTTGAAGTCCCTGAATATACTCACAGCACAGGGGGATCTGCCCCAATCAGCTGGATGAGCCCAAATTGTGAGGTGGTCTCCGGAATTTGATTCACAAAGGAGATGCTTTCGTTGGCCAAGTTTTATAGTCTTGCAATCTCTCTTTCTCCTTCCATCCTAGAGTTGCTTACGTTAGCAAAAGAAGGTTAGATATTAATGAAGATTAAGCGTCCAGCAGGTACTGGGCCCCTGCTATGACAAAAGAGAGAAATAATTATTTGACCGAGGTTAGAGCAAAAAGTTTTGTTATGTCACAATTTGCAAGAGTAAATAGGAAGAGCTAGCTTGTCTAAGCAGCCTCTCTCTTCCAGGTGTTAATTGAAAAATGCAAGGCAATAACAGGGCAATAAGCTCCATGTGCTTTTTCCTTTCTGACTTGTGCCCCCTGAAGTTTTTACCCCTGAAGTCAGCTTTTCTAAAGGAGCAATTAGACCAGGCAGGAAGATGCCCTTCCCCAGATTTCTTATCCCATAACTTACATACTTAGACTGTTCCCAGTGAAGTCTATCCCAAATAGTTAGCTACAGCCAAATAATCATTCCTGTGTTTCATTTTCAGACTATTTGTGGAGATAAGTCTCCTGTTAAATTAGAAAATTGGGAAAGAATCTTCTGCTGACTTACTGTTCAAATTTATATTGGTTCTAATATATTCTATGACATTTACCCTTTGGCAATATAAAAACCATTTTTAATCATGTACAAAATCTGAGTTTTGTGATCATGTTGTGATACTTTATTGCTCACTATGAATTGTGATGAGCAGCATGGCTGTCCAAAAGAACTGAAAGGGAAAACATGGATTTATTGGGAACATTATATAACCTCTTTGTAGTTAAAAATTGCCGAAGGGGTGTTGTGTCACCAAATCATGGTTGCATTAGGCTTTGGTTCGACCAAACGCTAGACTTGGCAGTTGGCCTCAGCTGAACCAAGTTGGGCAGTTGAGGATTAAAGAGGGTATCTTTAACTGAGTTTCTCTTCTAAGGGAATTGATGCCAACAGTGCCTTGACTTGTTGTTGAATGTGACATCCAGTCAGTGTGGCTGAGCCAGTTCTAGTTATGTGCTTGCTCCATCTGGTGCCAGGCAGAATATGAGAAGCAGCCTTTTGAACCAGCTGAAGTCTGTTAATTGTGCGTGCAGGGACTAGGAGACCAGCAAAAAGGGCATAACAGTAGTCTATTTGGGATGAAACAGAGAAATGAAAAAGGACACCTTCATCAGGAAGAGAGAGAGAGAGAGGTGAGGACCCACTCTGTCTATCTTTATATGGTGATTGCAAGCAGCATCTCTTGCTAAATGTTAGTACCAGTTCAATGCTGTGTTTTGTCAGTGCAGTTGGCAGAAACTCCAGATGTTCTAGATCAGCCTTCCTTGGTCTGGCTCTCCCTGGACCATGCATCTTCCTCCCAGCAGGGAGCGTGCTTTTTCCTGAGGAAGATAGAATGTAGTCCAATCTTTATGGAGTGTACCAGGTTGGGGAAAGCTACTCTAGATGCATGTATACAGTGCTTTTTTTCTGGAAAAAAAAAAAAAAAAAGGTGCCGGAACTCACACACATCATACAACCCGCCTTGGCTACTCTACAAGGTTCCATCCAAAAAAGGTGCTGGAACTCCGTTCTGGGCGTTCTGTGAGAAAAAAAAGCCCTGCATGTATATATTTGAACATTTTAAACATCAGTAATCCTGCCACCCTTCATTTCATCTGACGATTGTCCTCATAGCCTTCAAATATACAGTACAAAGAATTTTTTAAGAAATTGAAGATATAAATTTATTTCACACACACACACAAATCCAGAAAAGCAAAATTATTTTCCCAGCTATCTTTAATATTACCATAGCAATATAATTCTGTATAGGAATTGTCATTGAATTCAATGAAGCTTACTATCAGGTAAGTTGATACAGGACTATAAGCTAAAATAAACTCACTAAAATCAGATCCAAATGGAAAATGCCCTGAGAGGCATTGTGTTCATCTGTACTGCCAGCAAAACAGAAGTACTGAAAACTATAGATTTCTTTTCTCAACTTTGCCTGATCCTGGAAGCTAAGTAGGTTCAGGCCTGGGTGATACTTGGATGAGAGCCTATCAGAAAAGTCTGTGGTGCTGGGCATCCCATAAGAAGGAGATGGTAAACAACTTCCATATGGTAGCCAAGAAAACTGCATGTGTGTGTCCATTAAATCACCAGGAGTTGAGGTAAACATTCTTAGCATAAACATGTACCATAAACTGTACAGATTCATATTGCAAAATAGGAAACAGTAATGGCTTTTTTCTTTTCTAAATGCAATTGTCTTAAGTTGATTGGTGATGCATCAGATATGGGCATCAAATTAAAAAAACTCACATTCAGATCTCCACTCAGCTGTGGAGTATGGCAGCTTACTTGAGCTTGTTAGTGAGTATGTAGGCTTTCTGAACCCTGCTTTTTTGAGCTAGCCATAGACTGAGTTCATGCAAGGTGTGTATGAGATTTCAGCAACCTCAGTGATAATTTTCTGTGATATTGCATGGGAAGGTCAAAGTATTGTGGTACATCTTATAAGGTTTAGTGATATAATAAGATTTGGGTTGATACTTTTTTTTAGTGCATGAAGACCTGTATAAGATTACACTGTGATGCTCAAGACCCCAAAAGGTTGTTAATCCCTAGCTGAGATAAGCTATTTTTAATAGAAGGGAATATATGCAACTCAGAGTAAACTATGGAATCCTTGGTACTCTCTAAGTTTGGTTGTTTAGGGAAGACTAAACTCAGAGAGTACCAAGAACTTCACATGGGATTTTGTTGGAAAAACCACAGTGGCCTAATATACAAAGAATGCTAAACAAAACACAATAGATGTTGTTAGGATTTAACCTTACCCATAAGTAACCAGGATCAATGTTTCTCTTTCTCAGTCTAACTGACGTAATCTGCTTGTTATGAAAAAAAAGATTAGGAATAAGAAGCAATGCTTAGAGTTACCTCAACATCTTTGGAGGCCAAGAAGTATTGAAAGACAAACAGATTGCTTCCAACTATAAGCAAGTAAACTTATTAATGAATGGATTGCAAGTAGAGTCCTCTGGAATTTAGAAAAAAATAATGCAGATCTCTGTAAAACAGGTTCTCATGTCATATAGCTCTTTCAATTGGCAGAGCAATTTTTGCAATGGCCAAAGCTTAACTAGTGGGAGATAAGAGGCATTAATTTGCATTCTGTATGCTTTTTCATGCTTCACTCACATTTGTGCTTGAAAAGCCATCTACAGCCTGAAACTTAATAGACCCAAGGTCTCTCTCAAGTCTGCAGGACTAAATGACGTAATCATAACTCCAATTCATGGATTGTCAAGATCGATTTCATTTGTTGGCCAATTATTTCTAGATGTGTTGCAAACTAATTGATTTTTTTTAATATCAAAAATTGCCAGGGGGCATTTCAGAGTTGCATTAGGTGACCTCTACTGTTTCATTGGACAATCTCTTTGATGGCAACAATTGACTAATCCAGTTGGAGTTGTGCAGAGTACTTGCTTGGTTAATTCCCAGCTGTTTGGGTGTTGATGACCAGTGTAAATGAGACTGGTGATGAGAGGAAGGGCAATTTATCTGTGCACAAAAGCACCCCACTAAAAAGTCTTGGGTTGGCTTCCTCTTTGCTGCAGTGTATGAGGGCTCAGTTACAATCCTGCCATCAAAAGTAACTCAAATCCTTCCAAGCATGTGCATATGCTTTCTCCCATCTGTGAAGTAGTCCTCCCTCAAGAGAACTGTTCCATTTCAAGCAATCAGTGATAATTCCTTGGTACTGGATAAATATGTAGATTTAAATTATTATTCCACAAGAAATATGTAAATAAGATGGCAAAGCAGTGAAAAAGAACTCTGGGCTTAATTGTTGGAGATGTTAGAAGTTTTGAAAATGATTTCATAACACAGACAACGCCATGGCGCCTAAATTCTGTCCATGTGCCAGAGCCATTTGCAAGAAAACAACTTTGTAAACACTATTGAAGACACACTGCACACTGCTACTGACAGATGGCTGTGAGATAGACATTAAAATGGTCACTTTAACAGTTTATATTGGATTTGGTCACTGTTTTTGTTTCTAGACTGGTAATGGGAAAGCAAATGGGAGAAAAACGCAGTAATTTGAAATTCTCAGAATATGAAGCTGTGATATCAATTTGAACATGTTGTTTTGTGAATTACTCTTCATAACATTTAGAAAGGTATTATGGGGAGAACACAAATAAAATATGTTTGTGAACACCAGACAGTTAACTGTTAACATAAAGTAAATGACACAAATCAAAGAGGGAAAAAAATGCTTTTCAATAATTTGATGAATAGAGTAGCAAATCGGAACCATTTCTTCATATGGATCTTTGCATTGTCAGTTTCAAAGATCACTCTAAAAGCTTGTTGGAAAGATTTTTGCATGATCACAGATGGTGTTTTAACCTGAAATTTGGTGTGATATGTGGGAAAGGACAGTAAAATCTTGTGAGATTTGAAGCAAAAGCCAGCACTAAAATCTTATAAGATTTGGCAATTTTCTGACATCTGAGATCCAGCCCATTTAATGCTTTATTTGGTTTATCAAGGTTATCTGCGATATCCTCAAAGACCCCCAGTCATTTGGGGCTTGTGTTCTACTATAATAATTATTATAATTAATTATATAATTATAGTATAATTGCATAAATATAATAATTTCTAATAATTTGAGAGAAATTCTAATTTGAGCATGTTAAAGTAGGATTAAAAAAAAGATCTTGTGGTTGTAGAATGTTATTTTCATGATTGTGGACTATAGTAAAACCACTATATCAAGCTAGTACCCAGGCCGTATCATAACTATGTCTATAAAAAGGAAGGACCAGGAAGAAAGAGAACTTTTGCTATAATCCTGTTGATTCCGTACTTTTGTATTTGCCTAGGCACAATACCCGTATTGACATTCTCACCATTAGCTGAACCTTCCTTTTTATTTTTCTCAGTGGTATTATTTAGTGAATCTTTGGCACAGCAGGAATTTGAATGCAGCTAATAACAAATTGCTTTACTGTAATGTTGCACTCTCTTTGTGTGTATAGAATTCCTCCTTATTTTCTCAAAAAGCTAATACAACCCCTTTCAACCCCTGCCCACATAGTTATGGAATCACTTTTCTGGTTACTGTTCTTGCATTAAATAATGCTCCTAAGTGTTCTCACATTGGATTTTTGGGCAACAGGAAGTTCAATGTAATTAGTAGGTAACTGTTCTACCATAATGCTGCTCTTTCTTTCTTTCTGTTTACAAATCCTTGTTTTCTCAGAAAGCTAATACAAAATAATTGTTTCTGGAGAGAGAAAGATTAAAAGTCTTTCAACTGATTGCTTATTAACTTTGCAAGTACCTGTGGCCGGTATAATCTAATGAGAAGTCTGTTATGCTTAATGCTAACAGTGTAACAGTGTCTCTATAAAGTAGCAGAGGCCTCCTGTGAATTTTTTCCTGAATGCTTATGCATCCTACTGAGGAAAAGATTTTTTCTCAGAATGAGGCATTGTAGGTAACATGATGAAGAATGCTTTGTTGCAGTAGCAGCAAACACAATTTAAAATATTAAAGTTTAACAACGCAAGTATGATGTGTTGAACTTTTAACAATATTGTTGTTTTTGTGACAGTGGAACCTGAGCAAGCTCTGTGTTGGGCTATTGGGTCCTAATAGGAGTGTTTCCCAACCTTGACAACTCCCAGAAGTGTGGACTTCAATTCCCAGAATTCCCCAGCCACATGTCATTGCTAAAAATTCTGTGGAGTGGAAATCCACGGAAGTTGTTTAGATCAGAGGTCCCCAACCTTTTGGGCACCAGGGACTGGTTCCGTGAAGAGAGGTTTTTCTGCGGACCGGAGGGTGCATGATTTTGTATGCTGCCTGCATCTTGCAGATGGGGCTTTGCTTGTTTGTGCAGCCCGGTTGCTGGCATGCCACGGCCCGGTACTGGTCCATGGATTGGGAGTTGGGGACCCCTGGTTTAGATTACTCTAATGCCTTATTCTGTAAAAGGAAAACTTCATTGGATGCTATATGTATTGCAGCAGTTGCCAGTCATGTTGCATTTTACAGTGGAACTGCTGTTGCGGCATAGACACGGTCATGGTAATCATGGAACAATCATTGTGGCTCTGTGAGCAGTAGGTGAAGACACTGAGTGTATCTTTCTTGATTCCCATGGAAATGAATCATGGGGTTCCAGTGTGAGCCACCTGGCTCATTCTGGGCCATGGCAGAACTGCCACATTGAAGAATCTTCCATATAAAATGTGCTATTCTTCTGTAGCAAAAATAAAACCATTAATTTTGTAAAGCAAAATCACAATCTCATTTTCATTCATGAATTGAATTAAAATTTTAAATGGAAGTAAAAATAACTGTACTCCTTTTCTCAGTAAGCTTGAATTATGATTCTCATTTTTAAAAAAACAGTCAGATCTTAGTCTTATTCGAATGAATCATGTTGAACAAACTCATTAACACTTTGGTTGAAGATTATTTGGATCGGAATTCACATTCTTAAGCTGCCTATTCAAGAGTTGTAGAATCAACAACCCTAAATAGACTTTGCACAGTACCAGAAACATTAGCCTTTTATAAGGTATCAATATGACTAGGATAACATTTGCAGATTGTAGATTATATTTATTTATTTTAGAGCTTTAATTAGCTGCCAAGTCTTATAAAACTATAATTAAAGTTTTTATTGATTGATAACTTCAATTAATTTATCAGAGTTTGTACCTGCACTAATACATGTTTATGCTAACTTATCCTGTAGTTAATGATCTATGATGTATCAATGTGTCAGTGAAATGAAATGCTAGAAATCTTCATATCTCTTAGGGTCTCTCATTTCCCCTCCCCCCATTCTTCTTTTTCTTGGTGTTTTTTTTAATGATCAGGTTGACCTGCATTTCATGAAAAAAATCCCTCCTGGAGCTGAAGCCTCAAACATTTTGGTTGGTGAGCTTGAATTCTTGGACCGTGCCGTAGTCGCTTTTGTTAGATTGTCTCCTGCTATGTTGCTTTCAGGATTGGCAGAAGTTCCAATCCCATCAAGGTAATTTATAACCATTGCTAAGAAAGAAATGTAATTATTCCAGCTTGGTTTATATTCTGCAGCTCACAGATAAAAAAAATAAGGGCCAATCAGGGAATAAGGAAGACTTCTCTGAATAATGTTAAGGATTATATATTGCTCCAGAGCACAATTTGTGAAGACCACCTCACCACCCAAATTGGACAATATCATCAATGCTAGGCTTACAAGATCTCTGACTAGTTTAACAAAACTCCTGATTTGTATAGCAAACAACTGTAGCCAAAATGTGTTCCATCCATCCATGAGATAAGAAGTAATTAAAAACCAACATCACTGAGTACTGTTTGATGTATGCACAATTCTGCTTTGAAGGTTAAGCAGTCTCAAACTTTACATAAGATCGCAGTAGTTTAATGCCCTGCAATAAAGTCAGAAGAAAGTCTACATTTCATAGACTATCCTCTCTCTCTTTTTGCTTTTACAATTTTAAAAGTTTAAACCCATATGTGAAAATTCTATAAGAGTTTGAATGAAAAATTCCATTTAAATTGGATAGAAAAATGTATTTTGTATTCATGATTAAGAGGGAATCAATGGTTATAGAAAGCTGGGAGGTTGTTCATGAGCCTAAATAGAACATAATAAGCATTAACTATTCTAAAATATGGTAAAACACCTTCTCAAACAGAAATGATTCTCACTTTGTTTTGTGTAACATTATGTATTGGTACAGTTACAGCTTAATAATACATTAGGAAACCATTTTAATGTGTATACTTCTCTGTTTAGTTTTAAGAAACACATGAGCCCAAAACTACCAATTACCTCATCAGCAGGGAAAGTATTTATAATTTTCTAAAAAAAATAACATATTCTTGTTTTTTTTAAAAAAAAATTTGATGGGATATCGATGTTTAAAAGAAATTATTTTCCAACTTGTAAAATACAAATTCAAGAACAGTTAAAACACAGACTTAGTTTCTTCTAACTTGTGTTTGTTCGGATACTAGAATTATGTAAAATTAACATTATCTGAATATTTTTGTGTTCTATTTTTCATAGATTTTTATTTATTCTTCTGGGACCCTCAGGAAAAGGTCAACAGTATCATGAGATTGGCAGATCAATTGGAACATTAATGACAGATGAGGTACTTATCTATTCACAGGCGTTGATTAAACCCATTGAAAAATTATCTGTTTTAAAGTGCTTTGTATGAAGATTTATTTATTTATTTATAAATTTATAAATCTTAGATGGACATATTTATTTATGTCCATCTAAAATGCTTTAGTTTAATAACTAGCAGTTTCTTAATTCAACCTTTAGAGCCATTTAAATAGAAAGATTAAAAAAAAATCAGTATTTTGAATCACGGAACAATACTGAAAATGAGCGGGAAAATAAATTTTATGATTTGTTGAGAAACAACTGTGTTTGGATTTTTTTTTCCTCCTTAGAAATAAAATCTCATGGAGTTCCTTCTTTCCTTCATAGGTATTTCATGATGTTGCATATAAAGCTAAGGATCGCAGTGACTTAGTTGCTGGAATTGATGAGTTTCTTGATCAAGTGACAGTTCTCCCTCCAGGAGAATGGGACCCAACAATTCGCATAGAACCTCCCAAAAATGTTCCTTCTCAGGTAATTATTTGTTTTTATTTATCTTTTACATTTATATTCCTCATCTCTTCCAGTTGTGATACAATTACATAAGATACCATCAGTGCTCTACATCGTTTACCTCTCCTATAGATCATTGGCATCTCAAAGAATTTTTTTCCCCATGACTTTTCAGGACATATATAACGTATATGTCATGTATAAATCAATAAAGATTCTGTTCTGTTCTACTCCACTGTACTCCACTGTACTCCACTGTACTCCACTGTACTCTACTCTACTCTACTCTACTCTACTCTACTCTACTCTACTCTACTCTACTCTACTCTACTCTACTCTACTCTACTCTATTCTTCAGCTTGTGGGATTCAGTGAAAGTCTGAGCATGACTTTGTCATTATATTTTTTTTATTGTAAATAATTTTTACCAGGCAGACGTAGAAAGAGATTCCAGAAAGAGGTATAACAGTAGCACACATATGGCAGTAACATGTCCTTGTGTCTTAATGGTAAATCAGCAGGAATATGCACCTTCTCTGTCTTGACTTGGACTTCATTGCACTTGAACAATGTAACAGGTGTGGTGGATACAGCATCCCACAAACCCACAGGAGAAAGATGGCTGAATACAATTCTTTTTTGTTTGTTTTTTCGTTTTTAATCTCTAGTGCTGAAGCCTGGCAGGATGTTATTATTGTTAAGGAGGCTCGTGTTGTAGCACTTTTCAAGATGCTTCTCTCAGATTTTGCTTGGCATCTCCAGATGCTAGAAGTCCTGTTAAATAAGTTACTTTGGTGACTTTCATTTGTGAAAGCTGC